TGTTTATTTGCAAATTGTCTGTAAAACATACAGGACTCAGAGGACAACAATTTTACGATAGGATGACTTGCAAATGCTTTAGATTAGATTAATAATTCGATTGTTTGCATTTACATATTGAATAGCGATGAACAGTCATTCATCATGGATACAAAAATTCCTTGTTGGTTGGTAGAGGAAACTTCTTCCACTACGAAATAGACAATTTACGGTTTCCACGCTTTACCAATGCTCGTACCACCTCTGATAGTGATGGCTATATGCTTCCACCTCGTTAGTCTGCTCAGAGCAACAAATGATGTTCGATAGAATTATTTACATCATCGTTTTGAATGATTTGCGTTAAGGGGCTTAACCAATACCAAATTAATTTCAATTTAAGGCTGTGAACCATTTGCCGAGTTAAATTTAACTCGTGGTTAAAAGTGACATTTCGAAAGTTATTTCTTATGTTCGAAAATCCCCGTGCTGTCGATCGACCGGTTTCCGAGCCACGGTCGTCAAAATTTAACTTCTTGTCTGTCAGAAGTAACCACGCTCGGATAGCAGGGTTAATCGATAACTTTTCATCTGTCAAATTTTAACCAAAAGTTAAAATAATCCACCAAATGGTTCAGAGCCTAAGATGATTATCATTCTGCAGAAAGCATTACGCATTCCAACTAAAGGCCCTATCACTTTTCTTAACAATGTTCATCCTGTATTCGAGAGGAAAATCATCTGATTTCAAAACAACCGTCATCCGGTTGCAGCTATCATTCGAAAAGGCGATTTCGATTTTTCGATTTGAATGGTCTGAGGTTTCATTCGAACAGAGGACGGTGGTTTGGTACAGTGTGTGTGTATGTATTGTATGTATTAGTGGGTAAATTATAAGTATTAGTGCAAGAAAACCTTTGAATTCACCCAAAGTTCTGCACTAAAACTTGTGCAATTTATAAACGTCAGAGAAGTCTATATACAGTGTCTATACTGTAAACGGTCCCGTAGTCGACGCATTTTCTGCAACAAAAGGCATGATCTGATATGAAACGGTTTAATTTACACATAATTGACGAATTAGAACGTAATCACCCAACAAACAATTTGAGTTGATCAACAGCTGAATAATTGGGGCCTCCCTTAGCTCAGTCGGTAAAGGCGCAGCTACAAAGCAAGACCATGCTGGAGGTGGTTGGGTTCGATTCCCGGTTCGGTCTAGGAATTTTTCGGGTAGGAAAATTTCTCGACTTCCCTGGGCATAGAGTATGATTGTACTTGCCACACAATTATACTAATGCAAAAATGGTCAATTAATAACTGTGGAAGTGCATCTAGAACACTAAGTGGAGAGCACGCAATAAGCTAATATGTGTGAAAATCCGCCGATATTGGTTATGGGCAAATCACCCACGACGCAGCTAGTGAATGTTGAACTTACCCGTGCAGCAGCTTCAATCCAAATGGCCTTTTACCAACTGTCAGGAAATGTGTATGAAAACCCTAATAAAAATTGTATGGTTAATTTGCTTAACGACGTGTTCTGGGTATCATCCAAACCATTTATGGAATAGTTCAATGATTTGCGTTATCGTTCGTTTATGGTTATTTTTTATTAGGGAAGTCATGGCGTGCCTAGTTATTATCCATCTCATATCTTCCCTCTCCTTTGATATAAAAGTTATACAAGTTAATGAATTACTGAATGCTGTCAATTTTTATTTTAAAACCCGTAATCCACTTTTGCACACAGAGAACAGACATGGAGGCTCGAACAACATTTCTTTAAAAACTTGTGTAAAGATTCCTATTCGACTTAAGCGCCACTAACGGCGACTTCCCCACTTAAAAACCCTCTTTGACAACATGATGGCGCTGTAACCCGAACCCAGGGGGAATCGAATCCAGGGGAATGTAACTGCTGACTCTCCTTTTTGCTGCCTCATATTTGAGAATGCCTCGTGCTCTGCGGCCGTGTCGGTCATCGATCTGAAGTATTCGTCAACGTTTCTCACTAACTCTTCGTAACAATCCGGCCGGGATAAGCTGGGACGAAGCTTTGCCGCTCGAACGATGTTTTGCAGCTGCTCCCCCATGGAGAAGAAAAGTAGCTGCGTTTTGCGCACTGGGTCCCGAGCATTGCTGAGGGAGAGGGCAATCTCAAAATTCTCAATATAAGAATTCCAAGCCTCCCACATCTTGTTTGATGGGATCAGTGCTGTAAATTCTCAAAATCATTTGAACATTTTTGATGAAAATGAGAAAAGTAGCTATTCGCTATCAAAGGGGACCTCCTCCGAATGGGTGATATCAATTGCTTAGTCATTTGACGAAGGCATGGATCATTCTCATTTGAGAAACGCTATATATCATTCGATTGAGTGTAACCTACACACAAACGGAGCTCTGGTCGACATTCCGGCGAAAAAGCTAAGCCAACCCGACACCAACCTGACTTATATCAAACCCCAACCCGATGTTGACCCGACATTGACCCGACATAAACCCAAAATTGACCAGACATTAACACGAAATTGGGTTGACATCGACCTTAAATTAGCCTTACATTGATCCGACATCGGGTCGACTTGTCTGTTCGGGACCATTTTCCTGGATTTCTTCCATACTCCACTGTCGTATATCAAATGATACTGAGTGACTCAATTGACAGTGACAATGAGCTTCGAATGAGAAAGGGGCTCTTCAAATTATGGTCATGTGAGAATTCGTTTAGAACGGCGCCGGTGGTGTAGTGGTAAGCGTGATTACCTCTCACCCCAGCAGGCCTGGGTTCAATCCCAGTCGGCGCCGCCGGGATGTTCTGAGGCATAACATCTCTGATCACGCCTTCCTTCGGATGGGAAGTAAAGCCGTTGGTCCCCGGTTCATGAGTTGATGGGTCGATAGGTAGGGTCCAGGTGTGGGAGCTGCCTTCCTGGCACGTCGGTAGCATTGGTGCTCAGCACGGAAAACAAGATCGACGGAAAAAACAAACCAAAGGAAAAAAAAAAAAAGAATTCGTTTACACAGAATTGATTGAATGGTTGTAGTGGTTCATCTTCAATCGAATGATATGAAAATTTACAGCACTGGATGGGATGTCTTTTGGAAAGGTTTAATGTTTTCCCAACGAACGCTGCATGATCCATACTCGACTGCAGAGGATACCGGTGCGTGGGAGCTGGTCCATGTCAAGTCCGCATCGCGGGCGGGCGGGACAGTTTTCGCTGGTCTCGTGGGTTCTTTGAACGCATCCAGAAGCTTTTCAAGCGTTTGCTCTAATTTTTCAATTTGGTCAATAGTAACGTTGCCTACCGCTGTTCCAGGGGCGTTGTCCGACCGAATGGCTGTGCTTGAGAACAAGTCCGCTTGCCTTTCTCGAGCGTCAGTTTCGTCAATCGGTTGTTCTGTAGGATGTTCCATGCCACCTCCGCTATCTGATTCCGTGTTGCAGTCATCTTCCGAGCCAAACTCGCTAGATGCTCCTTCGTGATCCGTCGGATTATCGCCGTCCTCTAGGCTGTCGCAACTTTCACTGTCCAATCCCGCGCTGCGTTCGTCTTCATCCGAATCAGACCCGTCAAACGGCGTTCGTCGTCTGCGATTTTCTTCCTCGTTTCTTCGCTCCCGGATGTATTTTCCCTCGTCAGCCATCTCGAAAATTCTGTTAAATGCCATAAAATGCTCATTAGTTTTCGTTGCCATGGTAATGATACCAGTTTTTTTGTTTTTTTTTTTTAACGGTCGCGTGCTATTTCTGTGGCCTTGCCACTGCGAGGAGACGATTTTTGCACATCCGTCCTCACTCGCATTCAGAACGGCCGTCCCGGTCGCGTTCTTTCCTGTGGCCTTACCACGGCGAGGAGACGATTTTTGCAAAAATCCGTCCTCACTCGCATCAAAACGGCCGTTTCGGTCGCGTTCTTTCCTGTGGCCTTGCCAAGGCGAGGAGACGATTTTTGCATAAATCCGTCCTCACTCGCATTCAAAACGGCCGTCCCGGTCGCGTTCAAATTTACGATTTTCCTTGCAAGTGGGTGATTTGCCCTTTATTACCTCCTGGCAGGATCGCCAGAAATGTGAAAATCCGCCGATATTGGTTATGGGCAAATCACCCACGACGCAGCTAGTGAATGTTGAACTTACCCGTGCAGCAGCTTCAATCCAAATGGCCTTTTACCAACTGTCAGGAAATGTGTATGAAAAGTTCATGGCGTGCCTAGTTATTATCCATCTCATAATATGCAATATGCAATAAGCTTGAAATGCGAAGAAGAAGAAGAAGAACAGCTGAATAAGCATTTTTTTTAGTTGAAGAAGCTTGTTTTTGTCTGAATAAGCTCTTATTCAACATTCAATGTTTGTTGGGCACTCATTGTCATATGATATATTTTTTTGATGGTTTTCTTTTTGTTCGAATGTTGCTATATAGACTCGGAATTATTTGCAGAACACTTTAGGAATTCCCTCCATAATACTCTGGAAATTCACTCGATATTTATTTTCATTTTCTTCATAATTCTCACGAGAATTTGCATTTATTTCTCCCCTTAGTTTTTCTTAAAATTCCCTTGAAATATTCTTCACAAATATCTTGGAATGATCTCCAGAATGTGAAAAGTATTCTTCCAGAATTTCCATGGAATTTACGTCAGAATTTCATGGGAATTTTTCGCAGAATTCCAATTGAATTAATCTCAAAATGGTTTCTTTAGAATCTCTTAGAACGATACAGATTTTGTTATTTGTTTTCGTCATAATTATTTTCTCTCACTTCTACACTCCACATTTTTCAGTCTTTAATTTTCTTGTATTGTACCGCAGTTCGGCATATCTCACCCTCCGTTCATGCGGTCTCCACAGCGGGCTTGGTGGTTTTGACCTAATGAAGTGAAATCTTGGTATGTGGGACGCAAGTCAAGTCTTGAAGCAAGGACATAGGACCAGGAATAGAAGAAGTAGTAGACTAGCGATAGTGAAAATGGCTGTGATATTCAATTAATTCTCTTTGTCACCCCTCGTCAAGCTGTCCAGAATAATTTATTCATTCCCATCTAATCAAGCGACATCAACGAATCCAAACTGGTTAAGCTATCGCCCCGACTCGATCGGGACGCCATTGAGGTCCGATTGTCGAGCCGCGGACCGCCCAGGTAGCTAATCGGATTGGCAAACTGTCGCTTATCGGCATCCAGATATAACGGAGGCAGTTTTCTATACTTGACTCGCATCGCTATGTTTTCCGGCACCCGGGGTTCTCGTGATGGCTGTGGCCTATCCACTACATCGTCTACGGTTGATTGATACATTTCGTCTACTTCTACTTCTTCTTCTTCTTCGTCTACGGTTTCTTCCGAAGAATTCGACGGTTCATCTACTTCGACGATTGTTTCATCTGCAATGTTGTGCTGATATTTATATTGCGAGGTTTCGCCGGATGTGGCAGATGGTGGCAAATCTACGGTATCTACGGCAGCCAAGCTTGTTTCTAGTGCTTCCTAAAGAGCGGTGCGGTGAGCCGAATGTTAGATAACGCTGACTATACTAAGAACTAGGAAGGTTGACGGGGCAAGGTCTGCGATCCGCACTGTTTGTGGACACTTGGCACTTACTTGGTTGTTAGTCACGGACGAAAAAATGAAACACAGAACGAAGGGGGTTCTTTAGAAAATGTCATCTTTATTTGGCTTCCATTTAGAACTCACAATCTATCTAGTTAGGGGTAATGCACAGAAACACAAATGAACGCAACCGCCGGCGACGTCTATTGTCGCCGGATTCGGGGGATGAAACTGGAATGAGATCATACAACACAAATATCCGCGCACTCTCAATTACACACATGTACATGATCACATAAAGCGGTTAGCCACGCCCACTTTTTGGTATGGTTTATCTACGCCGGCGATTCGGGTGATTCGTCGATCTTGTACGGTAGTTGGTTCATACCGGTCAGGGCAGCCGGCGGTGGTCCCCAGGATACTTGCCGAGTGACTCGCGGTCGAAGTCCATTGGCGACCGGTGCCGTCGGGGTGCCAGGAGCAGGCGAAGAAGCCGGATCGGCAAACAGGACCAGTTTGTGTGGTTTGCGATGATGGCTAGTTTTGACGGATTCCTTCACCTGAATGTTGGCGAGGCAATGAGACCTGCGTGAGCATCAGTGGTGGTACACGCACTTAACACATTACCAACCATGCAGGATGTGAACGGTAGTGACCGGTAGAAACCGGTTCTAATGCTGCATTCAGTTGTTTGGCATCCAAAGGTTAGGATGAAATGTCGTTTATCGTAATGATCATTCGGCATAACAGTCGGTGAAGATGAAGGTTCATGGAATCAGTCCACTTCGCGTTTTCACTGGCACTGATTTCGCCATCCAGAAGTCATACAGAAGTGAAAATTAAATGAGATGCTTGCTTCTCTGCAGCAGACATGTAGATTAATTTTGAACTTTGTTCATTAAGTAGATTGCCAAATGTGTGCCCGTGAAATTGCGAAGTGGTTAAACAAATTGTATGACAATGGATTCCGTCAAAAGGCTGCGTTCCATTTGGTAAATTTTCACTTAACCTGCTATTGTACCAGACTTATTTCTGACCGACCAGAAATCAATTTTGACAACCACCTTCTCGAAAATCGGAAGATCAACAACAGAGGGATTTTCAAACGTTATAATTTATTTTCGAAGTGTCAATTTATGTGAAAATGCACCAAATGTAACACAGTCTTGATGATACTTTATTACTGACAATTGAAATTACAGTCAACCTTCACTCGTTGGGCTAAACCTGTAGCCCACTTTAGTGAAAGGCCTTCGTTGGTTGGACTGAGCTGTCAAGCTGAAAATTTGTTGAGGGATACACTGATTGTTTATTATCATCACTATCCTTTAGCAACTATCCAAATTGTTCATACATGAGCCACTTAGAAAAGGAAACAGCTCTGCCAGAAATGATGTTTGACTTCGATTTAGGTGGGCTACAGCCCAACTAAAACGTAGCCCACTTAACATAGCCCAACGAGTGAAATTTGACTGTACTATGACATTTCTGTTCAAAACACACTAGTGACATCTATTCTGTAAAACGTTTAGCTAAGTCGCAAACACGCGTGCAAGTTAAATGAGTTGATTCGTGACGAATCTATCCTGGACAAATTATTTCTTATCTAGATTTAAAAAATCCTTTGATTTATCGATCGCTACTTATTTGAATCGGCCGCTATATGATTTTCGAACAAAAGTTAATTTTAAATTTCACGTCGGTTTGTCGATGATTTTATTCCAGACGAAGTACAGTCAAATTTCGCTCGTTGGGCTATTGGCGTTGACGAGAGCTCTGTAACTCTTTACTCCTATGGCGAAATCTCATATGTAACTGTCAGTCTATGTGTGAAACATAACGGACTTTTTCTAATTCTCTCACTCCAACGCAAAACCCCATAAAGAACTGTCAAAATGTGTGTGAAGAAACGTCACTTCGGGACTGGTGTCAAGGCGAATGTGTAAGTGGGTTACGTTTTTGTTGGGCTCCTCTTAGTTGGGCTGTGGCCCACCTAAATCGAAGTCAAACGTCATTTTTGTCAAAGCTGTTTCCTTTTCGAAATGGCTCATGTATGAACATTTTGGATAGTTGCTCAAGGATAGTGATGATAATAAACAATCGGTGTATCTCTCAACAAATTTGGAGGTGGAGGTGGAAGCAGTACTATGACGAGCACCTCAACGGTGAAGCAGCAGAAAACGAAGATGGCATGACAACAGACCTTGGAGCACGCGCAGAAGACGACAGGCTACCGCCCCCTGATGTTCAAGAAGTTGAGGAGGAGATCGGTTGGCTGAAGAGCAACAAAGCAACTGGTGTAAACCAAGTGAGCTATTAAAATACGGTGGTGAAGCACTGGCTAGAGCGCTGCACTGGGTAATTGCCAAGATTTGGGAGGAGGAGATATTACCGGAGGAGTGGATGGAAAGTGTCGTATGCCCAATCTACAAAAAGGGCGACAAGTTGGATTGCTGCAACTACCGCGCGATCACACTGCTGAGCGCCGCCTACAAGGTACTCTCCCAAATTCTATGCCGCCGTCTGTCACCATATGCAAGAGAGTTCGTGGGGCAATACCAGGCGGGATTCATGGGTGCCCGCGCTACCACGGACCAAATTTTCGCGGTTCGGCAGGTTCTGCAGAAATGCCGCGAATACAACGTGCCCACACATCATTTGTTCATCGATTTCAAATCCGCATACGACACAATCGATCGAGATCAGCTGTGACAGATTATGCACGAGTACGGATTTCCGGATAAACTGACGCGATTGGCCAAGGCGACGATGGATCGAGTGATGTGCGTTGTTCGAGTATCGGGGATACTCTCGAGTCCCTTTGAATCTCGAAGGGGGTAACGGCAAGGTGATGGACTTTCGTGTCTGCTATTCAACATCACCTTAGAAGGTGTGATCAGAAGAGCTGGGATAGACACGAGTGGCACGATATTCAGGAAGTCCATCCAGCTCTTTGGCTTCGCCGATGACATAGACATTATGGCACGGAACTTTGAGATGATGGCGGAAACGTACATCAGACTGAAGGCTGAAGCTAGACGGATTGGACTTGCCATCAACGCATCGAAGACAAAATACATGAAAGGAACAGGTTCTAGGGAAGACAATGTTAGCCTCCCACCCCGAGTTCAGATTGACGGTGACGAAATCGAGGTGGTCGATGAGTTCGTGTATTTGGGCTCACTGGTGACTGCCGAAAATGATACCAGCAGAGAAATTCAAAGACGCATTATGGCAGGGAATCGTGCCGACTTTGGACTCCGGAGGACGGTCCGGTCGAATAAAACTGTCTACGGCCACGAGACCTGGACTATGCTCGTGGAGGACCAACGCGCCCTTGGTGTTTTCGAACGGAAGGTGTGGGAGAACCATCCACATTGCAAAAATTGGGCGACTACGGTGGGCTGGGCACGTCGTAAGAATGCCGCACGGCGACCCAGTGAAAATGGTTCAAGAAAGCGACCCAACAGGAACAAGAAGAAGAGGCGCGCAGCGGGCAAGGTGGATCGACCAAGTAGAAGGCGACCTGCGGACCCTTCGCAGACTTCGAGGCTGGCGAAGTGTTACCATTGATCGAGTAGAGTGGAGATGACTTCTTCGGACAGCAGAGGACAACAAGGCCGTAGCCTGATTGGTAAGGTAAGTAAGTATCCCTCAACAAATTTTCAGCTTGACAGCCCAACTATTGAAAGCCTTTCACCTTCTTTCACTAATTGGGCTACAGGTTTAGCCCAACGAGCGAAAGTTGACTGTATATTCGAAGAAACATGCTACACTGAAAAAAAAAAACATCACGGTACATAGCACATGATACTCTGCGTATAACCGCATATCAGCTCCATATGGATTTCCGTTAATTTTAAGATAGCCGGTCATCCTGCATTTAAAATCTGCTTTAAATCATTTGGTCAATGCGTTTAGACGAAATTCATGTGTTGTTTCAATAAGCCATGAGGATATTTTTCAAGTTAACCTAAATGAGCATTATACAGTATGGATTGGACATGAAATATTCATTCTCATTTCAACAAATAGGACCTACAATTTTGGCATTCTGCTTATTTGTTTATTTACAAATAAATATATTACAATCTATACAGAAGTGTGCGTTGATGGAGAAACACAATCGATTGTGCATGCACGTGAGCGGGTATAGTAACAGCGTTCGATTAAATGAAATTTACTTCGTTTTTACTTACAACCCCAAGACAGCTGAGGAGAATTAGTGTACAAGTAGGATTCAAATAAGGGATGACAGATGGAAACGTGCAGTAGTGTGTGTTTTGTGTGTGTGTGTGTGTGTGTGTGTGCTTGTGTCAATGTGTGATAGATTAGAAAGACAGTGTTGAAGAACGAAACCTAAAACTCTAAACAATCATGGGTACTATACATCGAACTCCTCGGATTTTAGTTGCAAGTCGCCAAGATCCAGCTTGTTTAGTGTTACTTCACTGATCGAGCTAAACGGTGCAAGGGATTGCAAAGTCATGCTTACCGGTGGATCGGTCAATTCGCTATCACTGTTGTCCTCCCGGTCGGACAGGTGCTGATGCGACGGGCCGTTCCCGTTGGCAAGGTGTGAGGAGCTTCCGCGGGCGGTGTCATCCACGGATTCGTCATCCAGCTTGACGAGGGCTTCGGCTTCTTCGGCAGCAAGCGATTCCCACTGAAGTTCATGATCCATCAGTTGGCTCTCTGTTGGGGGGTGGGTGACAGTGTCAACCGTTAGAGCAGCATGGGTTTGGACGGGTTCCAACTTACCTCTGATGCCAGTGAGAAGCTGCATATCCTTTTCATCTTTATGGTTCGCATCCGGCGTCTTTTGACCGGCATCGCCGTTGATGGGCGGTGTGACGCTTCCGTTCTTGAGAATTCCTACTAGGGGTTTGGAGGTACCATTTTCCTTCTTTTCGTCCAGTGGAATCTACGGAAGGTTTGAGAATTTCAATTAATTTATCAGCAAGCGTTAGTGACTGTAATATCATTGGTGTGGATTGTTCGCATGTGATTCCTATACTGCCTACAAAAGCACCAGAGTCGATGTTATTACTCGTGTTATTATAAGAGTCCCGCCAAGAGAAAATGTTGCGAACAAGCAGCACTGTTAAGCTGGGTTTAGATAGGGCAAGTCAATTGATCAAGTCAGTTGAATTCAACTGATTTGAACGCGAATTGAACGTATAAACGATGCCATTCAACTGACTTGAACCAGGCTCAACTTTTCAAGCCAATTGAATTCAACTGAGTTGATCATTTGACTTGCCTAGTCTAAACCCAGCTTAAGGGATTTTTTTTCGTCAGAGTAGCGGCAACCAGATTTTTTGCGTTAGCATCGGATGACTTTCATTCAGAAGTGAAAAATTTCATGTCGATAACGGAGCTCTTATGCACAATGTACTAAATAAAACGAAGTAATGTAAGTAAGCTTTAGCACAATGTACTAAATAAAACGAAGTAATGTTTTTCATATAAAATTACTAAAATATTGCCAGTAATGAATGCAATACTTGTAGTTCACTGGCTGTGGGAACAACAATATTTTTTTACTTTGCTTGATTGGTACCCCGCTTGACAGTTAGATTGGTATTTCTCAAGGGGGGCATGAAAAAGTTCGCCTCCTCGTGGTGTGTCCTGGAAACGTTAATTACCGAACCAAAGGGAGTAAGGACGCTGGAGCCCCAACCTGCTCGTCCCAGGAGGCCGATAAGTCCTGCACAAACCCTCGTTGTGCAAAGGCAGGAGTGACACCGGGTTCTTAGAGTGAAGACGACTCTGACCAAGTCGAAGCACACGCAGCTGGTACGCAGTCACGTCTGTCCTGTCCCGCCGTGGACAGCTGGTTTGCTGCCACGTCTGCTCTAGAGCTCAGGCGAACAATTAACGGCGAACGATAAGAGGAAGGCCCTGCACAGCTGCTCACTGTGCAGTGACGAGTGTCACGTTTGTGATGCGCCACTAGTGATGCGCCATAGTGCACCGGCCCCCTCCCATGATGTAATGCTTTCGGGCGGTTCCGGGGAGGGCAAGGGCCAAGAGCACAGGGTAAGGTTTAGTGGGTCGGGAGCGCTACTTCTCCCATCCCCACACCCTGAGTTATCTTCTCAGGTGTCTGGGAGTAGATTCCCCCTGTATAAAAAAAAGAAAAAAAAGGGGGGGGGATGTGGCTGTTAAATACGAACAATCGTCGTCTACCTCGCATAACTGGTTTCCAACGTAAACAAGTCATAAGAAACCTACAGGGTTTATTTACGTTTGGAACCAATTTTACACAAGAATGATCAGCACGTCTGCTTATGGCATATTTTTATTTATCAAGGAAGTACTTTTTAAATCATATGACCATGACTTGTTTTTCTGTATTAAGGTCTGTATCCACAATAATCCAGACACAATCAAAACTTAAGTAAAACTCAAATTTTGCATTATATTTCAATTCATCGATACAATCGATGTAAATATGTACATTATTTGACAAATCTCAGGTAATCATGACAGCAGTTGGTCTCTTTTCTTCATTCATATTGTTTTCAATAATCAAACGTCATGATTACCTGGGTTTTGTCAAAAAAGGTAAATATTTACGTTGTTTGTACCAAAGAATTGTAGTTGTTTATTTCAGATTCATGGGATAAGATTTAAAAATTCATGAAGTCAAAACATAGTCATTCAGTATTTGCTTAACATTTTCGAACTTTGAGCGTAACTGCATCCATTAGGGTTTGTTCAGACTCCTCAGATACCGTGGTGGCCGTCTTTGTCCAAATTTGATGGAAGTGTTTGATATCTTTGATTCCTTGTTTCTTTCCAAAAAGCTTCCGCTTCATCATAGCCCAATATCTCTCTATTGAACGTAACTCTGGAGAATTTGGCGGATTTGTGGTTTTTGGTACAATATTTACTTGATTTGCTTCGTACCACTCCATCACAGTTTTATCATAATGGCATGATGCCAAATCGGGCCAGATCAAAGGGTTTTCTTTGTGGCTTCTGATGAAGGGTAGCAATAGACCTTTTTAATGCACCACCAACGTAGAGTGCGCCCCACGCGTTGTAGAGGAAACGTCAACCAAACCGTTTGTTTACATCAGAATAAGAATTTTTAACAAAGCAAATTAAAGCATTTTTCATTCAACATCTGGCCAATTTCCATCGGTAATTGTCTTATTGTATGATTTTTCACTGATCTGAACTAATTTGCACTCAAATTATGTACACACAAGAAATCCGGAAGATCATAACCACTAAGGCACCAATCATCTCAACAAAAATAGTCTTGAACACGATCAGGATCCTTGTATAACCGATACAGAATTAAATTTTTCAACGGTAGATCAAATTTTCGAGCATCTCTGATAAATTAATTTATCGGGAAAAGTGAACAAGTGTTCCCCTTCCTATGTCTCACGGCATAAATTTCTGCTCACAACACTCTTTTTGACGTTCTCTTATTCATCACCAGAGGTTGAATCGATCGCTTGGTTTCTATTAACAAGGCGTATCGCTTCTGCAAGTACTTTTTCTGGTAAATCTCCTTGTTGATTGCACCTGTAGTGACGAAAGATTTACTCTTTCGACCACACGTGCAAATCGCTTGCCAGAAAGGTTTTGTTTTTTTCGATGCCTTCTTCGTCCTGAAATACTCAGCTCTAGCATTTTTGGTCTTAGCCGAATAGAAAGCCAGTCCTGGAAGCTGCTTGAAATATTCCAGGACATGCGTTTCAACGCATGAAAACTTCGTCAAATATTTGCAGTGCATACCGTATGCGTGATAATGTTTGCACCATCGTACAAAAAAGGTTCCCGTTTCACCTGTGCATACAATGCATTGTTTTTCTTTGCATGCACGTAACCTATAGATCATACCGTAGTACACGGTAAGAAAAAAGTACCCAACGGAAAGTTCACTTTTACCTACTATTGACTAGTTTGTCTCCTTTTCTCCTTCTAATGTTGTCAAAAACGGAGTAGCAAAACCACCCAACAGGGGTGGTAAAGTGTGGGAGCCCAACGTTGAGTATAATCATATTTACCTACTGTTGGGTACAACTAACTTACTTTTGGTTAAAAAGCCAGTGGAAAATTCCATACGAACTGCACACAAGTCAATGAAAATTACTTTGACCCGCTTTACCTACTTTTGGGTTCCTGCACTATAGTGCCTAGATGAGTGAAAAGAACTTAATTTTGGGTACTTTTTTCTAACCGTGTAGGCTGTGTATAAAAGAAAATGATTTACTTAGTTTGACAGTTGCACCATGACGAAGTGGCAGCGTATTCGTGATTTGTCCCACGCGCAAATGTCGCAAAAAGGCATTTCAATCGCCGTGGGAGTGTCCCGGTGAACCGTCAAAAAGGTTTTAGACCAAGAAAAGAAAGGACAACTATCCGCGAAGGTGGCCACAGGTCGTCCGAGGTCAGCTCGGGTTCCGAGGGTTATCGCTGCTATCAAAAGGAAGATTCGGGTGAATCCAGTGCGTTCAATAAGGAAAATGGCAAAGGAACACGGGATCAGTGACTTTACGGCACGGAAGATCGTAAAGGAACATTACGGGGCGAAGACGAGGGCACGAAAAAAAAACTCACATGATTTCCAACCGCATCCGGAAGCTACGAGTTGAACGATGCAAGAAAATCTTGAACTTCCTTAAGCGAAAAAAATCCGGTAATCCTGTTCACCGACGAGAGCATGTTTATCGTCGATCCCGTATTAAATTCCAGAACCGACCGGTATATTAGTTCTTTTCCGGTAAAAGACGTGGCCGACGAGCACAAGAACGTGTATCTGACCAAGCATCCTGCTAGCGTTATGGTGTTTGGATTGGTGGCTACCGATGGCAAAACAATGGACCCGGTGTTCATTCCAGAAGGCGACAAGTTCAACACGGAGGTCTACATCGGGATTTTAAGTAAGTATGTTCTTCCGTGGATCCGTGAGCCAAATGTTGTATTTCAACAAGATGGGGTTCCGTGCCACACCTCGAACCGCACTCAGAAGTGGTTGCAGGAACATCTTCCGTTCTGGGCGAAGGATATTTGGCCGCCATCCAGCCCCGATCTCAATCCGCTGGATTACTCAATATGGCGCGTCATGAAGACCAAGGCCTGTTCTAAACGCCACCCGAGTACAGCAAGCCTCAGACAAACTTTGACCCGTACATGGAGAGAAATGGATCCAGACTACATTATTAGAACCTGCCGTGCATTTCGGAAGCGTGTGGAGGCCGTAATTGCAGGAAGTGGAAACTCAATCGATGATTAACATAGTTTAAGACTCTGAGAAACATCATTTTTGAGAATTTTTTTAATTTTGACATTGCTCAATGGTGCAAACATTATCACGCATACAGTACGTCGTGCCCGTAATTTTGCTGTCAAATTATGTTTGTCGTTTCGATTTGAAACTGTTTTTTACTTTATACGACTTCAGCCCCAAACGCTGTTTTGATTTTTGGACAGAACCAGGTGACATTCCTATTTTACGAGCCACCGTTCGAACAGAGAGATTCGGGGTTCCCTTCAATATCCTCTTCACCTTTCGGTCCATGACAGCATCGTACGTCCAATGTTTTTATCACTTCTCGGTTTCCTCTCGATTTGAGCACACCGTGAACAGTGGATTTAGGTAAATCCAATGTTTTTTGCAAGTTCCCGTATTGACAAGTCTGTATTTGCATTACGTCTAAACTGGGCTTAGTTTGCGCGATGGTAGACCTTACGCAGGCTTGGAGCAGGGGCTACGTTGCAGCCCAGTTCAGCCACCACCGGTTGGTGGTCGGAGCTGAGTTCGTTCAAGGCTACCGGCTTGGACAAGCCGGTATTTGTCAGAAACAGGTCTAGCGTCGATGGATTTCCCACCGGTGAGATGAATGTTGGCTCGTCCGAGAACCAAACGGAGTACAGCCCATGCTGCGAATGGTCGAACAACAGACGACCGTTCTGGTTCTGCTGATAGTTCCACAAGGCCTCATGGTGAGCATTCAGATCTCCTCCAACAACGAGTCAGGAACCGGTACGGGTGATGGTGGACAGGTCTTTCTTGAATTTAGCCGCTAGTCCACTGCTGGCGGCACACTGTTGAGGGCAGTAGACGGCGATGAACTGGACGTATCCAGTCGACGACTCCACCTCCACACCAAGGGCCTCGATGATAGAGGTGCGAATATGGGACAGACTGCGGTATTTTATCCCTTTCCTGACGATGATCGATACACAACCACGCCTCCCCTGGTGCTGGTACGATCAAGCCGAATGATGTTGAGGTCCGGCAACCAGCAACCACGATGGTATGCTTGCGGAGGAAGTCCGCAAGCTCGATGGTTTTTGCTCTTAAGGAGCAAGCGTTCCACGTGACTATGCATAGTGGTTTAGACGTCATAATGCATAGCCAGTTTCACGATAGTTTCGAACTGTTCGTTCTTGTTGGTGCACTTGCGGAAAGCGCTGGTAACATAGACGAACATGTTCCAACACTCGTCCACCGAGGAGTACATACCTTCTAGCGTTGGCGGTGTTCTCCAGGATCCAGGGGGGAAGTGGAATTTGTTCACCGAGCGTTGGTTGGGAGGAGCGGGTTGCACTCGCGGTTGCTGGTTAGTTCGAAGAGGGGGAAAATCGCCAGGCCAGAAAGTCGGGGACTTATTTTTCTTACGTCCTGGTTGGTTGGAGGTCAATGCATCCTTTCGGATACGCTTGAACTCCTCTCGTTTGGGGCACTGCCTGTCAGAGGCCTGATGAGCACTGCTACAGTTGACACACTTGATAACCTCAGGACCAGGGGTTGAAACAGTTGACGTTTTTTACTACACTCGCTTCGTTGTCGTGCGCGACAGTCTGTTTTTATTCGAACATTCATGCTCTACCGTCGTCTCTCTCACACAACACGAGCGGTAGAATAACATTCGAGTTAAAAGAAAATTATCAAAATAGCTATCATATGACATGTGCGATTTCGTTGTAATTCCTCAATTTGATGTAAATCAAACCTTTTGTGATCAGAAATAGTATTACTAGGACATCATTGCTTGTTATTTTCAGAATTCACACAAGCACACCATCAGCAGCTCTTATTATGAGAAAAACTAATATACATACATTCGTGACGGTCTTCGGCGACAGTGTCGTATGACAGAGCCTGTCATACGACATTTTAGTTTGGTAGTGTACTATGATAGCTTGTTTTGCAAGTGTCGGAGGCAAGGGCAGTCAATTATCACAGAAAATGTGTCGACTACCGTGACCGCTTTCAAGATTGCTCAGGACTGTCCTCTGGGCAGTCGAAGGAGGCATGGTCCTTGGTGCAGAAGCTGCAGCGTGGGTTGATGTTGCAGTTTCGGGTGCCGTGCCCGAAGTTGAGGTAGTGCTGACACTGCGTTACATCGCGGCGTCCACCACGGATGATGAAGTTGAAGAGGGAGCGGATTGCTTGCAACGCATTAAGCGTCACCGTCCCCTTCTTGAAGTGGTACCAGGAAAAGGCAATCCTGGTACTTCCTCTGGCTTTCGTTCCTCCTCTTGATCCGGAAGACGGCGATGGGGGCCAGCTTGTATCGTTCTTTAATTTCAGCTCAGATCACCTTCGTTTCAAAATTCGGTAAGCGTCGGATGACTACCCTAAACGGCTTGTCGCCCGGGATATCGTGTGTGAAAAATTCCGCTTTGGAATTCTTCAGAAAAGCCAAAGCTTTGGTGTCGAGGATGATCTTCGTGCCAATCCCGCACAGCTTGTACTCGGTAGTGGCGCAACGAAATCACCGACGTCACTACCGTTGATTGCTGTGGCGTCATCCTGGGGACCACTGTTCTTTGGGGTATGGACACTTCCACGGTCGGATGTGTCTCTCTTCGTCTTTTTGCCACCTTGGGCAGCGTTGGACTGGGTTGCAGGGTTCGAACCCTGGTTCGAGCCTGTCTTCTTCTTCCGCTTCGACATCACACGCGATGCACCGAAACGACCGAAAACGAGAACAAACGCGTAACACTTCTAAAATATTACTGGCACTGAGCTAGCGAGCGAATCAAACAACCGACTGTACTGCACGACGGTTTGATGCAGAATGATAGGTTGAACAGGTGTCTGCGACAGGTTGGAAGGCTGCAGTGTCCGCTCAACCAAAGCTCCTCCCTTTTTAGTTTTTCTCGTTAAACTCCTTCTCTCAAAAAGTTAGTAAATGTTAGTCTCTAACAGAAAGACGCTTAACACTTTTTTCGGCGAATTTATGATCCTGTTTCACGTCATGGTTCTTCTCTATGCCTGTTCAGATAAATTAGTACTTTTATTTATTTTCTCTACTGCGCTAAATAAAACGAGTAGAAATAAGAAGTGATGTCGGTAACGCGCTCGAATAATTGAAAATTCAATAAATATTAAATGGGATAGCTGGAAAAATCTTTATGATTAATCGTTAATTGAAGAATTGGACTTTTACGCATCCCTAGAAAATAGTGTAATTTCTTGTTTTTTGGTGGTCCTTCGAAAATGTCGTACAACAGAATTGCAACCAGCAAGTGTAACCTAAGAATTAAAAGTGGTGCGATGCTAGTTTTCATTGCTATGACGACGACTGAAATAAGGGGCTTACCCGAGTAGCACACTTCCGTTAATAAAAGTTGCAGCAACTTGTTTATGACTGAAATAAGTCGTAAAGAAGTTCCTACAACCGATATGTGACAAGCGTGCTACTAGGGTAGAAGCAGAGGGGTGAAAGTCGATTCTCTTCATCGATTTCCTCTTTTGATGACCATGGCTTCACTAACCTATTTCGCTCTTCTATCACCCAGAACAACATACGCATCAATGAATGTGTTTGCCGTCGAGTTATTAACGAAACAGAAAGTCGATGAAGAGAATCGATCAAAATCACTTGCACCCTTGCTTCCAAGTTTGGTATCTTGTAACCTGGAGAGCATTTTGTGTGGTCGTTTGGGACATGTGGTTCTGAATATAGCGATGAGTGTGCAAAATGTTACGCAATTGCATCCTCCCTATTCACCCACACCCGAAGATTGGAGGCGAATGCCACTTCAACTTGTTTCGTCTACTGACGACTCTCTGATGACAGTGTTGGGGAAGCAGCAATGCTACATCCACATGTTTCGTCTAGAAACGATTCTCTGAGGACTGTGTTGGGGAAGCAGCATACGCATGTACGTAATTTGTGGATTTGCTATGCTTGAAATTTACCACTTTTCCAATAGTTTCTTATGGAAAAACAGTTGCTAGAAATATTTCTGATCGATTGTTGATAAAATTATTGAAATTGGTCCCAGAGGAAGCTGAGTTATTAACGTTCAAAATCTTTCATAATTTCGTTACATGCTCCATTTGCGGTTTTCCCATATAGAAATCACAGAGGTTGTCCTACGTAAAAAACGTACATATTTACACTGTGTGCAGCGTCTTGTGAAATTCATAATTTATTCCGAAGGAATTTGGTGAAATCTCTAAATTCATTTAGAGATTCTTCGATTCCATTGATATCTTGTGCCTCTAAATAAATAAAATTTAAAAATTTGTGAGTAAACTGTATTATTGAGCTAATTTAATTTCTTAAGAATCTTCAAAAATTATAACGAATGAACCAGAAGGTGTTTCTTAAATTCAGGGAGGAATGGTCAGTAGTCTACTGTGTATATTTTTTCAAAGTCATGGGTAAACTTCCTATATCCATGTTTAAAATTAAAAAAAGCCAATCCTTTTTTAGGTTGTTTTCAGAAGTACTCGACACTTAGAAATAACTAATTTTACACGTGATGGAATCCATCTTTCACGTAAAGGAGTTCTAAGACTGAAAAGTTCGTTTGTACGTTCGATTAAGCTGAATTTTGCGTCTGTTATGACTCAATGTTTTGTGAAAATTAAGGCTCGTATATGTCAGTCTTAATTAACATGATTTTTTCTAAGTGTTTAGCAAAGATCTACACATTCTTAATATTCCTTTGAAAATGTCAAGCATGGTGACATTTACTGCGGTATTATTATTTTTTTTAACAAAATCGGCAAGAATTTGCAAAACTCCATTAATTTCAAGAAAACTGAAAGCAGTCTTTAAGCATAAGATTTATGAATTTCCCCCTAATTGATTGCATCTACTTGTAGTACCATGTGATCTCCAATTTTCATGGAGACACATGGTTGCCAATACTCATCAAAAATTGTAAATCCGAACTGGATACGATCGGAACGCTGAAACGCACTCACCGCCTTGTAGTTGTACCCCTTGACGTTGGGCGTGGATGATTCGTACTGCATCTTGGCGGCCTGCTCCTTGGACAGAATGATGTCCTCGTCCGTTTTCCGTTCCTGGCGCTTTTTGTACTCCCGATCTGATCGGTAGACTTCAATCAAACAGCACGTAACAATCACCACGAAGACCACGGTCAGCGTTATGAACACCACCTGCGTTGTGTCCTTCTGCTCCGTCTTTGTCTGGTGGATGGCCAAGTATGGGATCCGAGCCGGCGGATCGACGACCCAGTTTTTAACGGTTGCCTGTTGCGGTGATAAATGGAATGGATATTGGTTCGTTGCATGGCTTGACGTGATAAATTGCGAATTGCACCTACCGAGGTCATATTGACTTCCGGTGCGCTGAATGATGGCTGCTTCAGTAGCACATCGAATTGCTTGCACTGAGCCGAACGGACGCCTTGAGGATTGATGACATGGATCATTTCCACCTCGCTCTTCGTAAACAGCATGTACTCCTCCAACGGTTTCATAGTGTCGTTGTTGACATGGATGAAAATGTCTGTCGCGTAAAAACGAAACGATTTATGAATATGTTTATCAACGTAATTTAGTTAGGGGTGACTCACTCGACAAACAGCCATCGTAGCTCTTGAGGCCAGTGAACCGAGTATCGGTCGTATTGATGCCACCGACCTGCACGTGGTTCTTTCCCGGGTCCAAATTTTGCACCAACGGTTTATTCACCAGACTCAACACCATTTCTATGTTTGTTCGATCCACCAGCAGAGAGCTTTCATTTCCATTCCTAGTGTAGTAGATCGAATGTCTGGCGTCGTCCATGAAATTACGCTTGATTTTCGCCTCATACGTAGATCCTTCTCGGTCTTCCTCAATGACCAGATGATTTTCCGGAGTGATTGAAACCATCAGGTAGTAGCTTCGATCGTTCTTCGTCTGCAGCAACAGCATCACTCGATTGGTTCGTCTCATATCGTTACTGGAGAAGGCCAGCTGCAGCTGGACCTGTTCGACCCTTTCCGACAGGGCAAACTTCCTCAGCAGGATCGCCTCTCCGCTGAAACTGGCCCCCTTCTCCTCCGAACAGAACTCCCCCAGGAAGCTCGTATGTTCGCAATTGCAGGTACTCTCCTGTTTGGCGAATTTCTCCGTACAAATTCCCCCATTCTTGCACGGTTCGGCGTCGCACTTCATCTGACAATCGTCCAGCACTCCCTCGGTCACTGCAAAATGAAAAATGAAAATTAAAGCAAAATGATGGAGAAAATCTGAAATCCGACCCGTTCGAAGCGTACCGTGGGCATTGTTCTGCAGGGCCATCTCTTTGAGTGAAATCAAATTATCGCCAACCTTGAGGCCACGGATGCACCCGATGTAGCCCTGCAGCTCCTCCGTGTCCGCATTGGGTTTGAGCAGGTTCGCCGGATCGTAGCCGCCGATGTTGAACTGGAAGTACTCGGTCGGAGGGGCCGGTGGGCGGTGCGGCGAGAGGACCTCTGTGCATGGGGGCAATCGCGCGGGGTGAGAAATGGGAGAGAATTTCATTATCCACCTGGTAGAAGCTGATTTATTGAATAGTGCGGCGGGTGTAGGACAGAGACGGTAGCGCCGGTTGGAGATTTTTGCTTTAAAATTTTAATTTTAAAATTAAATTTAATTCGATTTTTAATTCTTCCATTGCTATACAGAAAGAGAGAGGCACATTCTATTTGAGGGGGTTTGAAGAAAAAAGGTGTAAGTGACTGTGATCGATTCTCTTTATCGACTTTCTCTTTTGATAGCCACAGCTTTATGAACAGATTTTGCGCTATTTCTGCGACATAGTTTGATAAAGGAGGTTCTCATCTAGCTTCCAGAATGGCGCACGAATCAAGGAATGTGTTTGCAGCTTAATTATTAACGAAAGAGAAAGTCGATGAAGAGAATCGATCAAAGTCACTTACACGTATTTCGTCTACAATGAACAGACTTCTTAAGTGTCTTGTACTAATACTCGACTATTAGTTCAAGACACTGAAGAAGTCTGAATATTGTAGATGAAATCCGCGGCAAATAAGGTAGTGGAATTAATTGGAAACTATTAATCCTTTTGTCTTTCTTTACATTGATGTATTTGTGGATTTCGAAAATTTTATGAACTCTGATCAACTCTGATTTTGAACAATTGAGTAGTTCCAGGCCAAATAGTAACTTTGCGTAATTGTAGGTTTGGATCTTGATTTTTTTTCTCTCAAAATCAGGGCTGGTAGCGATCGCTGCTGTCAGAAAAAGTGATTTTAGTGACCATGTTGAATAAATAAGTGACCAAATAGTGACTTATAGTTGTAAACATAGTGACTAAAAAGTGACCTAAGAGAAGGCGCATCAAATAAATGTTTGATGTTTTAGACTTATTCAATTCTTATCTCATAAGCACTTATGTACGATATGAACCTTTAAAGCGAAGGATTAAATAGAAAATTCATAACCAAATCCACGGTATTAATCACGGTGTCTACTAACTTCAGAAATCTGGAAAACCGGGAACCTTCAGGAATTTTTTTGTTCCCTTAAAATACCTGGAAGTCTTAAAGAATTAAAAAATTCTTACTAAGGATAATTTAAAGAAAATAATGAATTTTAAAATAAAACCATTAAATTTTTCGTGTTATTTTCATTCACACTTTAAACTTTAAAGATTCACAGTGGATTAATCTTGGGTAAGAAATAGGGGAAATGACGGCTTCAGCATGACAGACTATTTTCGGCAACCCAAATTGAAACATTATTTTCACTGGATTTTCTTGTGAAAACACTTCGCTGAATGCATACAAACGATTATTTATGCTTTCAGCATCAATTTGACTATATTTTTACCACTGAGAAAAAGCAATCTAGCAAGGTTTTCTTGAAATGCAACACACGCACTACAAATTGTAGCTGATTTCGAGTTGCCGATAATAGAACAGCAGATTTGCATGCAGTCCAAATGGAACGGTTGCCGAAGAAAAACTGGTTGCCGACAATACTCGCTCTCACTAGAGAAGATTGGAGCTTTGTAAAAGCGTTTCAAAACAGTTTTTGACAATTCTTTCGACTGAAATTGTTAGAGCAGCTGGCAGCAAAAGATTGTAAACAAACCAATACTGCATATGTGTGCGTTCCTTAGAGAAAAAGGCTATAGAAAGAACGTCGCTGCTTAGGTTGCCGAGAATACGTAAATTCCCCTATTTTTATTTGTTTCTGTGAAGTTTCCGAAGTTTATCTAAATTTATGGAATTTTTGTGCTCCCGTAATTTAAAACTTCTACAATTTAAAACTTCTTCAATAGTCTAGACTTTCCTGGTGCCTAAACGATTTCTGAATTTCTTTGAAGTTCTCTAGACTGCCCTGAATTTATCAGTATTTTTAAGAACCCGCAACTTTACTGAAATTATTTAATTTGCCTTGAAATTTCGAAAATGTTCCATAAGTATTATAACCATTATTAACACTCGTTTTTCCTTGAACTTATCCATGCTTACCTGAAGTTCTCTAAATTTGTTTAATAATCCAGTAAAATTGCTGATATACATATTTATAATTCCCTGACGTTTTTGACGTTTAAGGATCAATAATAGAATTCGTGGAATAGAAAAAGGAAGAGAAAAGTAAGAGAGTAGGCTGTGCGTGTGTTCGAACCTGACGTTTGTTTTTTTTTCCGTGGAGTTTTCTGTATCTATAACAGATATGGGAATTGTCGCGTTTGTCATTGACGCACGACAAGATACATTAAAAAAGGTCATCCTGGAAAATTCTCGTCAAACAACAATTTCTTGTCGCACGACAAGATCACCACGACAAAATCAAGAATCCATCCAGTCGCGACTATCTATTCTAGTCATATGTCACTCATTCTGTTCTCTGAGACAAAGTCTATATAGTTTGTTTAAAAAGGAGGATCACGACAAGAAACCATCCATTCTAAAACGGAGGTTAGATTTAAAACAAGGCCGGAAATAATGTTAATTTCTTTCAATATTGGTATTTCCTATTTCAGAAAGAAGTGGGAAATACTGCCAAATACCCTTCAATATGTATATTTTCGGAATCGGGATGACGTCTCGAGACCAAATATCGATATCCAGTGCCATCTTGGAATCCAAGATGGCGGCTTCCAATATCAGAAAAAAATGGAAAATACTGCCAAATACACTTGAATATGTATATTTTCGGAATCGGGATGACGTCTAGAGACCAAAAATCGATATCCAGCGCCATCTTGAAATCCACTATGGAGGCTTCCAATATCAGAAAAAGTGGGAAATACTGCCAAATACCCTTCAATATGTATATTTTTGGAATCGGGATGACGTCTCGAGACCGAAAATCGATATCCAGCGCCATCTTGAAATCCAAGATGGCGGCTTCCGATTTTAGAAAAAGTAGGAAATACTGCCAAATACCCTTCAATATGTATATTTTCGGAATCGGGATGACGTCTCGAGACCAACAATCGATATCCAGCGCCATCTTGAAATCCAAGATGGCGGCTTCCAATATCAAAAAAAGTGGTAAATACTGCCAAATACACTTCAATATGTATATTTTCGGAATCGGGATGACGTCTAGAGACCAACAATCGATATCCAGCGCCATCTCGAAATCCAATATGGCAGCTTCCAATTTCAGAAAAAGTGGGAAATACTGTCAAATACACTTCAATATGTATATTTTCGGGATCGGGATGACGTCTAGAGACCAACAATCGATATCCAGCGCCATCTCGAAATCCAATATGGCGGCTTCCAATTTCAGAAAAAGTGGGAAATACTGCCAAATACACTTGAATATGTATATTTTCGGAATCGGGATGACGTCTAGAGACCAAAAATCGATATCCAGCGCCATCTTGAAATCCAATATGGCGGCTTCCAATATCAGAAAAAGTGGGAAATACTGCCAAATACCCTTCAATATGTATATTTTTGGAATCGGGATGACGTCTCGAGAGCGAAAATCGATATCCAGCGCCATCTTGAGATCCAAGATGGCGGCTTCCGATTTCAGAAAAAATAGGAAATACTGCCAAATACCCTTCACTATGTATATTTTCGGAATCGGGATGACGTCTCGAGACCAAATATCGATATCCAGCGCCATGTTGAAATCCAAGATGGCGGCTTCCAATATCAGAAAAAGTGGTAAATACTGCCAAATACACTTCAATATGTATATTTTCGGCATCGGGATGACGTCTAGAGACCAACAATCGATATCCAGCGCCATCTTGAAATCCAAGATGGCGGCTTCCAATATCAAAAAAAGTGGTGAATACTGCCAAATACACTTCAATATGTATATTTTCGGAATCGGGATGACGTCTAGAGACCAACAATCGATATCCAGCGCTATCTTGAAATCCAATTTGGTGGCTTCCAATTTTAGAAAAAGGTGGGAAATACTGCCAATCAATATGTATGTTTTTGGAATCGGGATGACGTCTCGAGACCAAAAATCGATATCCAGCGCCATCTTGAAGTCCAAGATGGCGGCTTCCGATTTCAGAAAAAGTGGGAAATACTACCAAATACACTTGAATATGTATATTTTTGGAATCGAGATGACGTCAAGATTCTATAATCGGTTGCTGATCTGGCCATAACCATGCCCAGGAGACAATTTCTAATTCCTCAGTGAGTTCACTCAGACAGAGGAAGCCCTGCGAGAGCTGCATCTCATTCTGTTTAGCTCTACGTCCCTGTTATTTCCCGCTGAGAAACTGTTCCGAAGACAAGTAGAACCTCCATGAGGCGTTCGATCATTCATCCCATCATTTGTTCCATCATTCGTTGAGTCGTAGCGTTGAACCTGACTATTGGCCACGAAAAGGCTTGCCAATGCACATCAAAAATCGACTACATACATCCGAAAATTTGTTTATCTCAAATCGAAGGAAGAAATTCCGCGCAGCTACCATAAACCGGACTAGTTCATGTTGATCTTCGTCAAGCTTCGTCTACAATTTGGACTTCTACATCAACACATGTCAAGCAGCCTTCATGTTCAATTGGCTACACTTGGTGAGTTCGTTCCATTTTGTAAATTTTTATGTTTTCAAACCAGTAACGTTGGGAGTTCACCTTTTTGTGGTGCGTTACTGGTATAAGATCTACCACCGAACCCTAGTCGTGACAACTTAAAACTAGGGAATCAGGATTTTCCAGAAATCAAAGGATCACATGTTAGTCCTTGTTACTTTTAATGATATGATAATAGTGACAAGACTCGGGTAGTGACCATACTGCATTTTTAAATGGTATATTTCAAATCAAAAATATTGTTTATGTTCATAGATTTCACATAATCCTTTTCCCTTTGTCCTTCTCCTTTTCCTTTCCCTCTTCTCTTTTCAGAAAGCGAGTAATGGCGCTATTGCCATAAGTCATAAAAGGCTAGGACAAGAGTTAGTGCTCATGTCCCAACCGTCAGAAGAAAATGGAGCATCACTTAACCTTTCTAGATTTGATGCTTCCAACGACCAACCAATCATATAATTTCCAAAATCGGAACGTACAGTACGAGATGTCCACGTTTCATCCATTTATTGGATTCTGAAGCATCGTGCTTAAATCTTCGATTTAAACAGGCCCGATGTTTTCTGAATCATCTTGCCCCTTAAACGCTGCACAGTAGGCCTGGCCGTTTTGATATGTGTGACGCATCTTCGATGTGAAACATATATCAAATATACAAGAAAATAGGTTTATATATCATTTTCCAGGATGCTTTCAAGAACTGGCTGTGTTGGTGTCAAGGTTGCAAAGACTCATTTCAGCTAAAACAATGTTTTTCTAAATTATGAAATAATTAGATGCCATGATCAAATTTTGAATTGGTAGGATACAAGAAGAGGTTGCAAAGAATGTGTTTGACATATTAAACCTGTTTATTTCACTTCATGAGAGTCACAATCAGCGATTTTTCACAAACTCACTCACTCACTCACTCACTCACTCACTCAGCGATCAGCAAATCGCTGATTGTGACTCATAGAAAGCAAAATTTACAGGTTTTATGTTTCCAACGCATACGTTGTAACCTCTTCTTGTAAGTTACAAGTAAAACAAGCCATCATACCATCTTTTGGTTTTATTATTCCGAAAAACATTATTTTAGCTGAAATGAGTCTTTGCAACCTTGGTTGGTGTTAGATTAGATTAGATTAGAATAATAGAATTCGTGGAATACCCTATAATTCCACAGAACTCCTTTTAAGTCGCTGCAAATTTGTTTAAGTTAATGGGATTATTCTGAAGCTATCTGATTGTTCGGAACTTCACTGAATATCATTAAACTATCTACAAATATCTACATTTATTAGAAGTTGTCTGAATTTCTTGAATATATCGCTGCTTGCTAAAAGTTCTCGCATTTTTTTAAATAATGGAACTTCTTTGATGTTCTCTAATCAACTTAGCTAAATTTTCACATTTTTTTAAGTTCTTGAAATCTCCATGATATAACACCCTTAAAATACTCTCACGTTTTCCGGATGTTCATAAAATTTCCAGGAATTCTCTCAGAGATTTGCTGAAGTTTTCAGAAATTCACTGAGTTTCTCGAAACTTCTTTAAGGTTTCTAATATTACCTTGAAATTATTTGAACTGCCCTTTGATTCTCTGACCTGTCTTGATGTTCTCGAAGCTTCCATAAAGCTTTTAGCTCTATTGAAGATCTCGGTTCTGCTCGGAAATAAATAGAATTCCCGTAAACACCTTTAAATTTCTCTAAAATTCTCTGGACTCCTGTGAAGTTTCTGAAATATTTGTGAAGTTTTCATAAACTCTCTGAAGGTCTCTGTACTTCCCTGAAATTCGCGGAACATATTAAGGGTTCTCGATTTGTTTTTCAGCACATCATGAAACTATCTTCAATTTATCTGAATTTACGATTATAGATTTTTAATCTATCTAGCTTTTCTGAGGTGAAAAAATGCACAATACCCCTAATGTTTTCTAAATTTCTTAAGTTCGCTTGACACCTGTGAAGTACTCTGAAATTCTAGGAACTGCATAAAAGTTTCTGAAAAGTCTCGGATGCTAAAAGAACCACTTTGAGGTTCTTACAGCTTCCGTACTGAGTACCAATGTTACCGACCCCAGGGAGGCAGCTCCCACACCTGGACCCTACCTATCGACCCATCAAACTCATGAACCGGGGACCAACGGCTTTCCTTCCCTTCCGAACGAAGGCGTGATCAGAAATTTTATGCCTAAGATAATCCCGGTGGCGCCGACTGGAATTGAACCCAGACCCTTTTATGGAGAGAGGCAATCACGCTTACCACGACACCACCGGCGCCGCAGCTGACAATTTTATAAATGCCTATCAATAAAGTCAATTCTATAGCTTGATAAATTCCTTCAAAAAACATCTCCCCCCGGACCCGCCGTGCCGCAGCTTGTATCCGTCTTACCCAGCTCCGGATTAGACCACGGTTTGTTCCAGTACTCCTCCAGCAGCAGGTGGCCCCGTTCGATGGTGACGTTCTTGTCGTTGACGAACAGCGTCGTATTGGTCTCGGTTCGGATGATGGCCACCTGGATGCTCTGGGCATTGTTCAGACCGTCGTGCTCCACCGTCAGATTCACGATGTCGTTGCCATAGTTGTACAGATACACCACCTGGCTGGCGTTCGTCAGGTACAGTTGGACGAAATTGTTGAAGTGATCGTTCGCATACAGCACGAATGAATGCCTATCGTAGGTGCGGAGATTTATTAGCAGCGAAGAATTTAATATGCTGCGAAGCTTCTCCCTCTCCTCCCGCTGACTCTCGGTGTCACTAATGTAGTTCCGCTTCAGGTAGGACTCGCGACTGATGAACGTCAGTCCATCTTCGTTGATGTCTGTTTGCGCAATGAGATGGGAAAGGGAAAGAGTTAAGGGAAGAAGACAAATGGCAACCATTATGAAATGGATTTCAATTGATTGCTTTCCTCCTTGGGCGGCAGAAGCAACGGCAAACAGGAGCAACTGCGAGATTTAATAACGCGAAACGAGGGCCGTTTTGTTGTGATTATCGTGTAATGAATGATGATGGGGAAATTGGAAAACATGTCGACTTACTCGTTTCACAGTGCTGCCCAAGGTGAGCCCATCGATTTTCGCAGACGCACTCAAACGAGCTCCACAGCTCGCGACAGTGAGCTCCACTTTTGCAGGGATTCGGCACGCAGGAGGGTTTGCAGTCCTTGATGATCTCCGAAAGATGAACCGACATGAAGCTGTAGATGTCCAGGATCTCTCCATTAACGACGAGACCTCGGAAGCATCCGATGAGACCTTGCTTGACCGTGTACTTTTTGGAGATTTCCCTGTGAAGAGTTGGAACGTAGTACAGTACTAAACGATCGTCAATGTCCTAAAACTATCTTACGTTGGAGCTCCTCCGATGAACATGCTTCCCTCGAAGGGACCAAACTCTTCCTCCGGTTGCAAATCCACCATGCTGATGTCGGTGTTGATCATGAACCGGACGTGATGCTCATTGTAATCGATCCAGATCTTGTGCCACTCGCCTCCGTTCAGCTTCCGGTCGGTGTCGATGGTTAACATTTTCGGAGTGCCCGTGTTCAGGGTGAAGTTGAACGTTAGCTGATAGTCTCCGGTGAGGGCCACCATGAAGGACGGAAAGTTGGACCGGATCGGAGGCTGGAACAGGAGGATGGCCTTCTCGCCGGTGGTTCGGAACGAGAAAGCGATGTCACCCTTCCGCCAACCGGGCACCTCGATGTAGGACTGCGAGGTTGTGAACGTGACGACGTACTTTTGGGTATCTTGGGAATAGTGAAGCCGATTCGTTAGATTTTAGATAAATCTTATTATAAATTGAATAAACTCACTCGTTTCAACGCACTCCAGCGGACCGAGCGTGATGCGACCCTGGGACTCATCGTCCAGAATTTCCTTCTGCTGCAGGAAGTACATCTGGGTGATGCCAAGGCTGGTCGGCTCATTGAAATACCCCTCGTCCGTCTCCCATTTGTTCTGATTGGCATCACAGCTGCATGTCAGGCTGGGTTTCAAGCAATTCTGACCCACCGAACAAGGGCAAGTCCCTCTGAAGAAAAAAATCGACTAATTAAATGAAATTTGCATTTCCCCCATTCCTGCACTCACCGTTTGACTTCTCCCAGCGAATCGACAGTGTTGTTGTTGTAGGATGATTTGAACCAGGTGGCTGAGTGCAGGTCCAGTGGTGCTTTGATGCAATCGTACTTTATGTACTGGGTGCAGTAGAGCGAATGTGAAATCAGCTCCTGCAACATCTCGGCACTGAATTCCCGGTATTGAATGTGGAAACTGAAATCAACATCCTTGAATGACCGTACGTCCACCTGTGATGGTAAATTGTGCTCGACAATCGTCTTCGTCGCATTGGTCAAGCTTTGGAAGTCGCACTTGACCCTGGCCGGTGGAAACACCCCATTGCCATCGATGTCAATCGAGTAGACGTCCGACTTGGAGAAGCCCAGCAGGGCCAGCTCCTCGCACGTCTTCCGGAACCGGGTAAAGTGGCAGTTCTTCCCAACGTATCCGGTATCCTTGCAGTCGCAAATGATACCATCGTCTTTAACCGAGCACTTTCCGCCGTGCTCGCACGTGTTCGGCTTATTGCAGGGATCAACGTACTTGCAGTTGTCCAGCGAAACGTCGCCCACCACCCGTTCGCTCTTGACCAGGAACCGCGGCTCGATTTCCACTCCATTAATTTTCAGATCCCGCAAGCAGCCGACCAGACCGGATGCGGCCGCCTTCAGGCTGCTTCCGATGATGAGCTTATCGCCGACGTTGAACGATAGGCCGTGCATTTGGGTGACGGTGTGCCTGAAGTCGACCACAAATTTAATCTCCCTCCGCTCGTAGGTCAGATGGATTGCGTGCCACGACGTCGGATTGTCGATTCGGACGTGGGTGGCGTGGGTGATGTTGCTGGTTACGTCCGGACACAGTTCAAAGCTGAGCCGATCCGTGGCGAGCCGGATCTGGAAGGAGATGGCGAGAGGGGGAGAGAGATAGAGAGAGGGAAGAATGATTGGATGGTTTAATTGCGGTGGTGCCTAGTCGGCATTTGTTCATCTTTTAGGTAGTTGTTAAAGAGAAGGGATATTAATTTCGATGCGGAGGGTGAAAGCACCGTTTTGGTGCGATTGATTATCGTCCTGGGCCGGGAAGGTTAGGAATCAATGAGCCGGTAGGAATTCGCTACCTTTTATGTATTATATATTGCTATTAGCTATTTCTTTTAAATATAATTATTAAGAAAACCTCGGGATCAGTGTTGTAAGCAGTCACCACAGTTTCAACCTCTGCTCGGGATCAACACAAAGGGAGGGGCACTTCTCGTAAATCTCAATCCTAAGATGCTCAATTAATCTCACTTATGCGAATGACAAACCTTCATCCATCTAATCGCATCACTCCATCTTCAGGCATGAAATTATAAGAAATCTTCATCAATTTTCTTTCCATCGGTTACGAGATAAACTAGCCAATGAGCTTAAAATCTCGCTTATAAAATTAAAAGGTTGTGTCCTAGACACGACCGCAGCATGACGTAGAACTACCCAAAATTGATGTAGGGTTACGGTATGTAATGTGGGTCTAGTCCTTTCATTCGGCCTATCACGCAAATAAATAATTAATTAAGGAATATTACACAAAAAATAAGGAAAATATTGATCACTGATGGTTGATAAATGTGTACCACACACAAATCAATTTATATCACAACATTTCAATACATTTTCAGCTCTCGTAAGTAATAAAACTGGTTGAGAATATCACAATGTTCGGAGTTTTTAGCCGCCATGACTTATAAGGTTAAGATGGGAAGGTTGACTGACGATCATCAAATGGCCTGATTATGGCATTTATTGATTGGAATTACCTGATAATACACACTAGACGTAAAACTTACAGTTGCTGTTTGAATATTTTATGTTTATTTTAATTGTTTAACAACGTTTTCACAAGTAAAACATGGACCCAACTTTAGGGACACATTTCTTTTCTATGTTCCTAACTATGGCCCATGAAATTCATTTGACAGCATATAGCAATAAGAGTAACGTCAACAATGTTGTTTTGCATTTGGATGATAAGGAACGAACAGGAAGGGAGATTTTTTCTGCCAAACCTGTATAATGAACATCACAATGTTCTGATTTAGATATTCTGCGGTCAAAAGACGATAAGCGAAATTTTTAATTTTTAATTTTTAAATTGAGTGATTTAATGTAGTTTTCGTAAAATTTTCTCTAAGAAATGTTTTGAGGAATGAAGAGCATTAAGTTAACAGTGATAGTGATAAAAAAAAATACATCAGAAAACGTTACCAAGAGCGTTTTTTTGAGGATCAAACAAGATAGGACGAAGTTGCATCCATAAATAGACCCAATTTGGGGACAATAGACCCATATTACATACATTTCCCTCGTGAGTTATTGTCTTAAAAAAAGTAAGTTTTTCAACTTTTCGTGGTTTCTGATAGCAAACGACATGATAAGCATATCTAAGCATACCATTTAGCAGTAGAATATCGTTTGCAGGTAAATTCATTGATGAGTTATGATTAAAAACGTAATCGATGGCTGCATATTAGACCGAGGTTAGGGACGTATACCCTATGTCATGCATTTTTGATTATTATACTTTTTCTTAAATTTTTCAAGTATTTCAATGTTTCGGTTATGGTTCAAAACTCGCGACAATTCATGTTAGAATAATCAGACCACGGTTCATCTTACGCATTAGATAATGTATTTAAATTTAATGTAATGGTTAAGAATTGACACTTTTTCCCCTACATAACTACCTTGGGTTGATCAATGTTGAGCTATTTTGCTGTGATCAATGTACACTAAATTTGACATCGAAATCGACTACAATAGTAACTGACACTATTTTGTTACACATTTTTTTGTTGATTTGCACGTCAGTATAGTACACAACAACGCCATGCATGTTGTGGGATAAAACAATTGCCAAAAAATACATAAATTTTTTTCAGTAGCTCCATCATTATTTTTAAATTAGGTTTCTGAAGCAGAGAAGAAAGTGAAGATTGCATTTTATGATAACGCAACAGGCAGTTGTTTTACCTGTCAGAAGACGGTACTTTAAATATTGAACAAAATGTTGGTTCACATGTCAACGAAGTAGGGGAGGAAGGGGTATAAGGATTATACGGAGGATAAGAGGTGCTTATCTTTGTTCTCCAATTAGGAGGACAACCCTAACATAAAATTACCATGCATCATTATTATGTACTTTACAGCGTGTTCGTAGAATGATTGCAATAGAATACTGTGATTTTTCTCAAATTAAACGTTTGGTTTCCAATAAGTAGGTGCTTAATACAACATTAATTGAAAATTAGGGGATTCAGCTATTGAATTTCAAAGTCAGAACAAAAGCTCGTATACAGGTTCTTAACCTGTTTAATGTTTTGATAGTAAACATCATAGTTTAGGTACACCGGTGCTAGTTGAAATAGTACGTATATCTCTTAGTGGAAGTGAATATTCACTGTAATTATTTTTGAGAGGCATTGTGTACTACCGCAAACTATATTAGAAATAACCTTAGTGATTATTCACTTCCGCTAAGAGCTACATCTACCATTTCAACTTCCACACGCGTTTCTACTTGCCCCGGTGTAGGGTAATGGATTTTGGTTGGACCTATTTAAGTCATTTTTGCACTGCGTCTATATGTATGCCGTGTTTTTCTTTGATGAAAATAGCATATGGACATGAAAAAATTAACAATGTTCTCAAAATAGGATTTTATTGAAACACGGGCTCGTAATCACACAAGCATTCCTGAGTAATTGGTTCTTTAAAGGGCAAACACGAAATTATTGCGACACATTCAACAGGGCATAACTTTTTTACCATTGGGTAAAAATCAACCAAATTTTGCACACTTTCTCATTGATATGTATTGTGTACATGCTGTCAAACTCGAAGTCGTGTTTTTCGATTCAACGAAAATGGAGGTGAACCAACGCGAGTTGAGAGAACAAATTCTTTCCAAACACCTGGAATTTCCTGACCTGTCGCACCGGCAGTTGGGAAAAATGTTGAACATTCACCATTCAACCGTCTCCAGAGTGTTGAAGCGGTTCCAGGAGCGGTTGACGATGGACCACGGCAAAGGAGCTGGAAGAAAACCGGGACCGGAGAACAAAAAGACGGAGGGAAAGGTGAAGCGGATGATTAAAGCAAATCCCAACGTCTCAAGCCGTGATTTGGCTAAAAAGATCGGCATGTCGCAGAGCTACGTCCAGAATGCAAAGAAGAGAGCTGGACTACATACATACAAGGTACAGAACTTCCCAAACCGCGATGAGCGGCAACAATCGACGGCTAAAACTCGAGCACGGAAGCTCTACGAGAAGATGCTGACAAAATATGGCTGCTGTGTGATGGACGACGAAACGTATATAAAAGCCGATTTTAAGCAAATTCCGGGGTTGGAGTTTTTCACCGGCAAGAGCAAGTTCGATGTGGACGACAAATTTAAGAAGAAGAAAATGTCGAAGTTCGCCTCCAAATATCTCATTTGGCAGGCCATCTGCTCTTGCGGACTGAGGAGTGAGCCTTTCGTGACAAAGGGCACAGTAAATGGCGAGATCTACAAATCTGAGTGCCTCAAGAAGCGCCTTTTGCCATTCTTGCAGCAGCACGACGAAGCTCCGCTATTTTGGCGAGATTTGGCATCATGCCACTATTCTAAAAGTTTCCTGGAGTGGTATGAGGCCAATTCTGTCCATTTTGTTCCAAAGGACATGAATCCGCCAAACTGTCCGGAGCTGCGCCCGGTGGAGCAGTACTGGGCAATAATGAACCGGGAACTTCGGAAGAGCAAGAAGACAGTCAAAGACGAGAAGGACATGTTAAGAAAACGGAAAAAAAAACTGAGAAACTGGTACCGGATGACACTGTAAAGACTTTGATGCAGGGCATCAAGCGAAAATGCGTTCAATTTTACACTCAAGGCTCCATCGATTAACTTTTCTTTTGATTTTTGAAGTAAATATATGTATAAAACTACCCTAAAATTTTGGTTTGATTCTAAACATTATAAGAAAATTGGCATGACATTTTCGGTGTCGCAATAATTTCGTGTTCGCCCTTTAATGTTAAAATTTTTTGTCGATTTTTATACATCATCTGAAAGTGCTTCGTTTTTTGAGCACAATGATATTTTTTTCGAAACCGTAGACTTTCATCTCGATTTTAAATCAAAGTTTAAAGCAAATTAATTTCAATTAACTATTTGACACTAAACTAACAAATTGACAGCTCGCTCCCATACAAAGTCCCACTGAGGGGCGCTAAGATGGTAATATTTGCTACTGTAATCGCACTTATTTAAAATAGTTCCAGTGCTCCAATTTTGATCAAATTTCGGATTTCCGTTCTATGTTTAATGCAGATTACGAATATGCCTTAACCTCAATACCCTTAAAGAACCCACTTGGAAACAGTAGATAGAGCTTCTTTCTCTATGATGCACGGTATATGCATTTGGGTTAACATCCGACGCCTCTCCTTCTTTACATATTCTGCACAAAAAATACTTTCTAAGCCCCGCCTCTGACAGGATCTCCCACCGTTTTTTTATGAATGGGGCGGGGCAGAAAGTATCTTATGTGCAGAATATATAAAAAAAAGGATGGACTTCGGATGTTTATCTAATTGCATATATAGAGGTACCCGATATGTTTTACAGTCAGTCAGTTCCCGGGCCAGGGAACAACACGTGCCAGTATCCAGACAGGTGAGTAACACTCTGAACCTTGACAGCCCTACCAAAGATCTCATTAGACTCCGTAACACCATTCGTAGGCAGTACCAGCGTACTGGCCTGCCTAACTTGAAGACCAATTGTAATCGATTATCAAAGATCATTCAGGCCAGGATGGTGGATCTCAGAAATAACGATTTTTCTAGTAAGATCCGCTCTCTCTCAGATT